CAGGAGGCACTCTGGTTCTGTTACATCCTAAGGGATTGACTAAGGGAGGTGTGTCCAGCAGAAGGAGGGGCTAACCTGTTTAAAGCCCTGTGAATAGCACATTCTCTCTCTCTTTGAATTACCTCTCTTCACCTTCTCTCTCCTCTCTCCCCTCTCCCCACTGTACACACCCTCTCTCTCTTACTCTCAGCTGCTGATCAATGGAGTGGTAACTGTATCACGTGTCTATGCCTGTTTTATTATGTTAATTTAGCCTACTTTCCATTCAGTCAATGATTAGTTTTAGTAGCAACATATACTAGCCTATTTCAAATGTATATGTATTGTTTATTTGTTTGATTAGCCTTTATTAATAAATATTATTGAATTGCCGAAAGCAAGGAGTGTGGACTCTGACTTTACACTCGGTTTTTAAGTTATTATTTTTAGTTATTAATGTTATTATTAATTCCAAGTTTATTCCAACTTGCGAGTTAAACGTTTATTACATTTGGCGAGCCATGTTATTATTTTCTACCACCTTTTAAGCTCACTTGCAAGGGGGGAACAATCCAGTCTTCTCCAGATACATGTGAGCTATAAAAGGGGACAAAATAACCGAACCAATTTTTGTTTTATTTTTTGTGAGCGTTTTCGGCAATACGTCCAGGGCCAGGACGTGCAGGATCCTACAGAGGCAACCAGAGTGAGACGCAGTTTGTAAGCCGGCCATCACTTCTGGAGGATCGGAGATAGCCAGACCAAGGATTCAAAGTGGGGTGCACACCATTTGATTTGCCTGCAGTCTGAAGACACAAATCGTGTAAGTACTTTTAGCTTTATTTTAAGAATGGAAATTGTAGCAGAATATGCAGCGTCTAGCAGTTTTGATCCACTAATGTTTGAAAATGAAAATGAATTTAAGAAAATGCATAGTATGTGGTTACAATGCGAAAAAGAGAACGTGAGAGTAGATAATAAAAAATGGTGTTTGAATAAGGATAAACAGAAAATCCAAAATTGCATGAAATTGTTGCTGTTATTAAGAAATCAATTAAATCGGATACTTCTGGGGCACACTACTGTGGCTTGTATACAAAGTAGTACTCAGAAATATAGTGATTGTCCAACTTGTGGCTTAAATGCAGAATATGTAAGTACATTAGAGGACAATTATGAAGCGAGAGGAGAGCTAATTTCATCGCTTAAAACAGGTTTAGCTGCACAAACCCCAGTTGCTGTATGTGGCCATGGGGATATGTGTGCAGAGGAAGAAGAGGCATCTGGTATTGCAGAAAATGAGGACCAAGGGGTAAACAGGGGAAACCTTGTACTGGATGGGTTTGATATTAGTGGTATTCCGGTATTAACCCCCCATATTACTAAACCAATAGCATCACCTTTTAGGGACCCTTTGTCCATTACACCGACTGTTAAAAGCAGGGCATCTGCCACCCTGCAGACTGCTAAAATTCTGCAGCAGCAAGATAGGGATAAAGTAATGAAACAGCTTGTTAAGTTAAGATCCCTTTTCCCCCCATATGACTGCAAAATAGATGTAATTTCAAACATGTCCAACTTTGAATCTGCAGTCAAACAATATATGCTCTCTCCTAAAGAGGCATGTATTATGCTTAAAATGTGGGCACCAAGCAGCATTGCATGCAGATTAAATTCCCCCATAAATGGGCCCATTAATCGGGATCAAGATTGGTTCAAAGAGGACAAATGGGGGACAGAAGGAGACAGGCTTAGAGCAATCTCCAAATTGATTACCGTAGAAAGAGATTTAGACAGTCATTTACTCGCTGAAATGAAGGTACACTTACAGGATGATCCTTGGCTTTTTGCATCTAAATTTGAACAAGTGTACAGATTAACCCACCGTATACCACAAGACCAAACCCCTCCTGATTTACTGCAATACCTGATAAAAAAATTCACTTATTTAGATCCCGGAGTGCAAATGATAGCAGAGGAAAAAGACACTCTGGAAGGAGTTCTAACTATTATAGGAAAAGCTAGGCAAAATTTAATTAGGAAAGGTGTCACAGGATATCACAATATTGCAATTATGGCTACTAATGAAGGGAGGCAAGCTCTCCCAGAGATTCCATTCAGAGGTACTTGTTATTATTGCAACAAAAGTGGTCATAGACAAAAAGATTGTAGAAAGGCAAAGATAGATCAAAGGATGACTGAGGGATGGCATGCTTATCCCTCTGGGCCTTTCAAAGAAAGAATAGGTCAAAATGTATATGAAAAGATTGACCGAAATAAACCCCCGGATAAAACAGGTCAGGGACGCCATTCTCACCCCCTGCCTAAGACCAATCTATACGGTCCTGCGCAGGAGGCTCTGAGAATGATGACTGTACAGGGAACAGTGACTAGCAATTCTAAAATGAATGAAGAGGGTGAAGTTCCTCTGATTTCATTTTTGTAATAACTATAACTGGATGGCATGGTTCCTATTTGTAACACATTTATGGACCATGCAGGACGCCCTTACGTGAATGAAATTATGGCAAGGCAACAGACTAAGAATTGGACTAACACAGGAGCTTCAGTGAGACTTACTGACCTATCACTAAGTCTCCCTTCTGGGGCAAAACAATAACATATGAATTTATTAATGGAATTTTTTTTTTTACTTAATTGCATAATGCTGGAGTCAAGCTAAACACTTCAAAGGTTGCTCACACAAAAGGTAAAAATTTTGGGAGTAGCTATCACAGCTGCCCAATTAAAGAGTGATAGCAATCTTACAAGTCCCCAGACCTTTTAACAAACAATCCTTGAAGAAATTTTTTGGGACTTGTACATTTTTCAAAGGAATTTGGCACACGCCCTATTTGTATCAATAGTGACATTGCTTGTGCCACCAGATCAAACCGTCTGTCCAAATGGAATCTTGGGAAACTGGTTGGATGGGGACTAAAGCACCCCCTCCAGTCAGCAGTAAACACTCATTCAAAGGTACAATTGAATTTGTTAGCAAAGGATAGATGGAGATCAATGGCATTTACATGTAAAAGACCCTGAGGTACAGCATGGGAGGAGCACTTCACATGCAAAGAACTAATTACTGATAGCCAAGATTGTTGATCAAGGTTCAGAAGTGCCAGATTTAAAAGCAGAACTGAATAGGAATCCTAATCTTTCTCTTTTATTACAGAACCATCAAACACTTCAAGTGGTTATTCTATAAAAGAAGGGTTGTTATGTTAAATTATATCCATGCCCTAAGCAACAAAGGCCTATGCATCAGAGAGTGCCAGTTTCAGACAGCCCCTGGAAGTCAATACAGAATGATTTCATAGGTGCACTTACACTGTCCAAGGGGTTCTCATATATGGCCCCAACAAATTGTAAAATTGTGTCTACTCCTCAAACTCTGTTTGAGAAAGGGGGGGTAGGCGTAATAAAGATTAAACATTTTATCAAAATTATCCCTGGGATGCAAATTGGGAAGAGCCCTATGTAATCCTATAAGTCAGTCCATGTAGACCAATGTAAATTATACAAAGGGGCTTGTTCCCCAGGTACAGAGTTATCTGCTAAGAACTGATACGCCTTCTTGATCTCTTACAGATTTTTTCCAAAAGTACCGAGACATGGATGTCACTCAACATGTTAAAACTCACCTGGAAAGTGATGGAACAGCTTGTCACAGGCCAAAGCAACAACAGCTGTATCTATGCAAAGGCAGCTCGATCTACCAAAGACTTAACAGAGGACAGCAGTGACAATCTACAAGTTCCATATGTAGATGTGACATTTAATTTTGGGTGGGCAGTCAAGATTGTTTGGCTAAAGCAACGTGATTCTTTCAAGGGATTTTGGAAAAGACAATAAGGGAAATTAAGAACATTGGGAATGTATATGGACTGGCTGAGGAAAATGGGAATGTATATGGTCTGGTTGAGGAAAATGGGAATGAATATGGACTGGTTGGGGAAAACTGGTTGTAGATATGGAGGGAGGAAATATTAATATGAAATGAAATGTTATGAAATGTTACTAACCCTAGTTATAATGTTAACAGCAATCTTAGAGAGTATCATATAACACAAATTATAGTGGATACATTAATCATAAAGGGGATAAATTGGGGAACAGTAGGACACAATAAGGGTGGGGAAGTGAAGGTCTTGTTGAATGTAGAGGAAGAGATAGAGCCTACAATCCTGACTCCTCCTTTCACCTATATTCATACAACTCCTTCACTAATGGATAATGGGAGCAGACCTGAGTGTTAGGAGATTAGAGTGGTCTCTAGTGGTAATTTCCCAATATGTATACTGAGACCTACCCCTATAGTCAGGAATATTACTTTCCAATTGATTCGACTAACAGATTGGCTAGTTTAATCACACTTTCAGAACTGTTCTAGGGTCACATCCACTATTAATAAGGTTTTAGTCAGATGGGTGACAAGAAGTAGAACTAGGAATAGGAGGGTTGTCTTGGGTACGGTTCTGGGAGGTGTGGGTACTGGGTTGGGTTTTGTAAATATAATTGATATATATAGTATGACTGCAACACTCCAGTCTGAGGTTGTTAAATTCAGAGAACTATCAATACTTTAATGGAGGATTGGACACAGAAGGATCAACAAACCTGTGCTGAGTTCTTTCATCAACAACAAGAACTTTAACTAACTGAACATTTATTTACTGACATGGCTAGTACTACCTGGTGGAAGAAATAAAAAAAAACTCACTTCCGAAACCAATCATCATGGGGTACTGCCATGGAAAATGTATTAATTCACCCATTTATTATTGTATTGGGTGTTTTCTATAGTATGCATTTTTAATCAGGTTGGTATGTGTTGTTACTTGAAGTCATTGATTGTTAGAGTATATCATCTCCAATATGATATGTAAATGGAAAGAGCTCTATTGTGACAATGGGTTGTGCATTCACATAAGTAGATACACTGCAGGATGCATTATCTCTCTCTCTTATCTCTGATGGGTTTTATAGAGTCTAAGTGTCTCATCCACTTCATTGCCAATAGGAGGGATGTAATAAGTGGGGGGATGTGATTAACAGCCAAACTGTATGCCAATGAAGTGTTATTGTGTTCTAATACAGGGATTCAAGCCCCCATTCTACCCTTAGGCAATAATGGAGTCCTCTGTGAAGCACATGGCCTTTCACCAGGCAAAATCAGTTGGTTTGTTGATAAACTCCTCCTCCATTCCCTTACAATGCAATCCCCCTTCCCCCAGGAGGCACTCTGGTTCTGTTACATCCTAAGGGATTGACTAAGGGAGGTGTGTCCAGCAGAAGGAGGGGCTAACCTGTTTAAAGCCCTGTGAATAGCACATTCTCTCTCTCTTTTTGAATTACCTCTCTTCACCTTCTCTCTCCTCTCTCCCCTCTCCCCACTATACACACCCTCTCTCTCTTACTCTCAGCTGCTGATCAATGGAGTGGTAACTGTATCACGTGTCTATGCCTGTTTTATTATGTTAATTTAGCCTACTTTCCATTCAGTCAATGATTAGTTTTAGTAGCAACATATACTAGCCTATTTCAAATGTATATGTATTGTTTATTTGTTTGATTAGCCTTTATTAATAAATATTATTGAATTGCCGAAAGCAAGGAGTGTGGACTCTGACTTTACACTCGGTTTTTAAGTTATTATTTTTAGTTATTAATGTTATTATTAATTCCAAGTTTATTCCAACTTGCGAGTTAAACGTTTATTACACCAAGTTTATTAACAGACCGTTAAAGTCACATGGCCCATTTCATCTCGATGAAGTGGTCTTGGTGTGATGGCACAGTCATTTTAACCCAGCAATGTATAACATGAAAGTTTTTTTTTTTTTTTTTAGAAAAGCCAATATTTACATTGTATGGTTAGGTCCACCTGGGGGACCCTGGTTGAAGTCAAACCTTCTGAAAACACTTTAACCACTTACCATGGGACATTGCCAGAGGACTCCTGGCATCATGTTGTCGTTGTTATGGTGCCTATTTTGCTAATTTAATCTAATTTTCTACCCAACAATTTACCCATTGATTATAGTTTGACATTGAAATAGTTGCAAAGAAGGCAGTGTGGACCAGGGAAATGGATGGACAGGTAATATATTGATAATGCAGACATGCCTACTATTGCAGTAGATATATCACTTTCTGCCCATATATAGATAGATTTTAATAGCTGAGAGTGTCAACCAACACTCCCATCCAATTATTGTTACCATTGCAAAAGGGCAACTTCTGCCATAGAAAGGGAATCTGGATCAGAGGGGGCTGGGGGATCCAGGGAAGTGCAAACCCATTCAAAAATGGTTTGACACCTTATTGTGGAACAGCCCCAGGGAAATCCTGGTGTCATAATCACTGCTGCATGTCTCACTATCTTTAATGCCATTAATGATATATGTGGGAAGTATTAATAATTAAGTTAAATTAATACAGGAGAGAAAAGTAAATTAGATTGAAGTAGAAATAACAAACTAAAATGTATTCAACATAATTAATACCATTTTGCACATCTCTACTTGAGTCCAATTAAATATCAACTTTCTTCCCCTTATAATGATCTGCCTTATCTACTTCTAATGGAGGACAATCCCATGTAGGACACAGGAAAAGTATGCAAAGTTTTATTTCAATCCAATGAGAAACATTGTTCTACAGATTTCTAAAATGATTGTGTACCAACTGTTACTTGTCCTTGACATTATTACATAGAATAACCTTAAACAGAAATAGAGAGAGATTTGGAGAGATGAGTAGGTTACTTACGTGGTCACGAGACTTTACTGCAAGACTTCACTGCTTGAAAGAAGGTAACTCAGGCTGTACCTAACTGATTAAGAAACTCTCCTCAGTAGAACCTCATTTTATAGACCTACATTACACAATAAATCTACTGCTTGAGGCTATACAACACAAGGCGTGACTGGGCAATGAAATGACACTTTGAATTAACTTGCCTTCAGGGAATATTGGATAACGCCTAAAAAGATATGCTTCATCAAGATTATCAGTGGTTTGATGAACATTATAAATCTTATTTAAATGTTGTTTTCTGGAGCCAAGAAACGATGTGCACTTATGAAACATAGCAGACTTGCGCACAGCGAAATAATTCCGTTCAGCCAAATCAATTTGTCCAAAAAAGAATTTTGTTAAGGTGGACTAAATTTGTCCATGTCATTCCTGGAAAAATGATTTGGACAAACTGAAATGGAGTGAAAATGGGCAAATCAGTTTGTACTGCAAAATGTATACATTACTACATTACATAATTTAAACATTATATATATATCACTCAGAACACTTAATGAAGGTTATAATAAAATATAACTTTTAATTCATATCATTAAAAAATCATTGATGTTTCAGCCCCAATACATGGGCTTTCATCAGGATGGCAATAAAAAGCATATACACTGCTCAAAAAAATAAAGGGAACACTTAAACAACACAATGTAACTCAATCACAAGTCAATCACACTTCTGTGAAATCAAACTGTCCACTTAGGAAGCAACACAATCAATTGAGTGACAATCAATTTCACATGCTGTTGTGGAAATGGGATAGACAACAGGTGGAAATTATAGGCAATTAGCAAGACACTCCCAATAAAGGAGTGGTTCTGCAGGTCGTGACCACAGACCACTTCTCAGTTCTTATGCTTCCTGGCTGATGTTTTGGTCACTTTTGAATGCTGGCGGTGCTTTCACTCTAGTGATAGCATGAGATGGAATCTACAACCCACACAAGTGGCTCAGGTAGTGCAGCTCATCCAGGATGGCACATCAATGTGAGCTGTGGCAAGAAGGTTTGCTGTGTCTGTCAGCGTAGTGTCCAGAGCATAGAGGTGCTACCAGGAGACAGGCTAGTACATCAGGAGACGTGGAGGAGGCCGTAGCAGGGCAACAACCCAGCAGCAGGACCGCTACCTCCGCCTTTGTGCAAGGAGGAACAGGATGAGCACTGCCAGAGCCCTGCAAAATTACCTCCAGCAGGACACAAATGTGCATGTGTCTGCTCGAACGGTCAGAAACAGACTCCATAAGGGTGGTATGAGGGCCCGACATCCACAGGTGGGGGTTGTGCTTACAGCCCAACACTGTGCAGGACGTTTGGCATTTGCCAGAGAACACCAAGATTGGCAAATTCGCCACTGGCGCCCTGTGCTCTTCACAGATGAAAGCAGGTTCACACTGAGCACATGTGACAGACGTGACCGAGTCTGGAGACGCCGTGGAGAATGTTCTGCTGCCTGCAACATCCTCCAGCATGACCGGTTTGGCAGTGGGTCAGTAATGGTGTGGGGTGGCATTTCTTTGGGGGGCCGCACAGCCCTCCATGTGCTAGCCAGAGGTAGCCTGACTGCCATTAGGTACTGAGATGAGATCCTCAGACCCCTTGTGAGACCATATGCTGGTGCGGTTGGCCCTGAGTTCCTCCTAATGCAAGACAATGTTAGACCTCATGTGGCTGGAGAGTGTCAGCAGTTCCTGCAAGACAAAGGTATTGATGCTATGGAGTGGCCCACCCATTCCCCAGACCTGAATCCAATTGAGCACATCTGGGACATCATGTCTCGCTCCATCCACCAATGTCATGTTGCACCACAGACTGTCCATGAGTTGGCAGATGCTTTAGTCCAGGTCTGGGAGGAGATCCATCAGGAGACCATCCGCCACCTCATCAGGAGCATGCACAGGCGTTGAAGGGAGGTCATACAGGCACGTGGAGGCCACACACACTACTGAGCCTCATTTTGACTGGTTTTGAGGACATTACATCAAAGTTGGATCAGCCTGTAGTGTGTTTTTCCACTTTAATTTTGAGTGTGACTCCAAATCCAGACCTCCATGGGTTGAAAAATTTGATTTCCATTTTTTTAATTTTTGTGTGATTTTGTTGTCAGCACATGTAAAGAACAAAGTATTTCAGAAGAATATTTAATTCATTCAGATCTAGGATTTGTTATTTTTGTGTTCCCTTTATTTTTTTGAGCAGTGTATATTGCAGTATATAAATCACACTTATATAAATAAGATGAGGGGATTCCAGGAGCTATAATGAGACAATAGTAGGGGTGGTAACAAAGAATATGCAATATATAATAAATGAAATCCAGCTCAAATTAACAAGTACCCAAAAAAATGGTAATAAAAATAATAAAATAGGATAAAAGTAATAGATTATCCAAGAAATGTCCACATGAAATAATAATTAATGATAAGACAGTCCCACAAATAGGATAGAATCAGTCCACAAAATGTAGCATAAGGGAGAGCTCACTAAGTTGTATATATGATAATACACAGCCGTGGAGCCCCTTTGTCAGGATAATCTAATTTACTGGAAAACAGTATATACGGAAAAAAAAATCAAATACATACAAAAATAAATATATAGAGAAAAGTAAGAAAGCAACACAGTACTAGATCAACCGTGTGCTAAAAATGAGAGAATAAATA